GTTTAGGTGAGCCACAGCGAATACGTGTCATCTGGGCTTAAAAATGAATTATTAAGTCAGCAGATATATATGCTCCCTTATTGTTGTTGTGGTGATTATGTGTACATGTACAGGTGTAGTACATATTTGATGCAGGTACCCTTGGGAGGCTGTGTATATATGCGTACATGGGTGTGTTATTGTTTGTGCGATATTCATTACAGTTGACAGAAATCAAAAACAACGTCGTTGACAAAATACACATACTAAAAAGCATCTGTGGCTACTGCGGCACTACAAAATACCCAAAGTGCTGCCCCATTGAAAGTGTGGTGTCATAATTTCTGTACGCCAATGTGTAAGCCGCACATTAGTGCAGTAAGTTGTTTGCGCTGTTGCTTAGGTGTGGATGTTAATACTAAATGCGTCATGTGCTTGAAATGTGCGGCGTTAGGAGGCATAAAACGGTAAACGCTGTAGGAACTATACATATGACTTCCAAGTATATTATCACATATTTATGCGCATTACGAGTACTTATGTCATTTGGCTGTCCAATTACTTTGCCACAGTTATTAAAAATTATAACAACAATTTTCATAGTTGCACGTACAGTTATAAATTACTTACTTAAAGATATGTGGGGGACTAATATTTATGGAGTTTTTACCAAAAGATTTTAATAAATTTCAATAATTTTATAAATGAAACCTTTGACAATATTTATTTTTATTTTTACACTCGCGCTTTATTTTGTACAAGGGTGTTTTTTAGACGTGTGGTTTCACCTTTTTCAGTGTTGGTCTTTTTGACGGCTGTTACTTAATTTTTATTCAGTTGGGTTTGCCATTTCATAATGAACAGACTTACTCGAAAACAACGTTTGTAAATAGTGCAAATTTACTACCGAAATAATGGTTCGGTTCGGGCGACGCATCGCGCGCTACGTTCAATATTCGATCGACATACTTGTAGTCCCCAACAGAGTGGGTAATTCGAGCAACCATGCATCGGTTTCGAACCACGTTTACTCTAATGGATAATGCTCATCCTCAGAGTTGCCGTAAAATGCGCACTGAAGACGCTTTACTGCTGTGGAGCAGAGTATTGAAGAATACCCTAATGAATCGTTCCGCCATTGCGCGTAACAATTGGAGTTGTGCCCATCCACTTGATGGAAGATTTTGCATGAGGATCTTGATTTGCGGGCTTACAAAATCCAACTCGTGCAAGAAATGCAGCCAAACGGCTATCAAGCGCGTCGCATGTTCGGTGAATTGCCATTGTTAAGACGACGTTATATCCTCAAAAAGTTACTGTTTGGTGTGCTATATGGGCAGCAGTAATCATTGGTCTATATTTCTTCAAAATTGAAGCCGGGCCTAATGTTACGGTCAATGGGAAACGCTATAGAGCCATGATAAATGACATTTTCGTTCCGGAATTGGAGGATGTTGATGCGGACGATCTTTGGTTCTAACAGGACGGCACTATATGCCATATAGCAAACGAAACAATCAATATTATATATTGAAGGAAACTTTTGGTGAACGCATTATCTCGCGTCTTGGGCCTGAAATTGAATGCCTCTCTAACACCGCTGGACTTTTTTTTGTCGCTTGCCTACGCTGATAATCCCGAGACGATTGACGTCTTGGAAAAGAATATTCCGAGCGTTATTGTTTACATACGACCCTAATTGCTTTCAAAAGTGGTCGAAAATTGGACACCTCGGCTGGAATTTATTTGCGTCATCATTTTTAAAACATGATGCCAAATCATTATTTTTATAATAAATTCTTGGTCATACCATTAAATTATATACGTTTTATTTCTTCTTGAAAACCAGATACCTCGAAACAACTCGCTATATAACAGCCTACAATTCACCGATTTCAAGGTTACATCACAGAAATAACGACCCCAACTACTAGCTCCGATTTTTTTTCTCAAGTTGGTATATCTGTCGTGAGAATACATGCAAAGTTACAAGTCATTCTGTTAACTAATTATTTGTTTACAAACCACTTGAAGTTGACGCATCAGAGTATTTTTTTAATATGGAAAAAAATTGAATGTCGCGCAGTGATTAGATAATTTGTTTTAAAATGTTTAAAAGCAAAGGAATTAATGAACAATTGTGAGAAATGTATAAGGGTCCTCAATTTCAAAACAATGAATCTTGGGCTGGTGAATTCAAACGTGGTCGTACTAGGCTTGAACACGATCCACGCCAAGGACGACCAAAAACTGCATCCATACCAGAAATCATTAATATCACAATATTGTTAGTGAAGATCCAAGTTTGACTAAAAGTGAAATTGCTAATGCCATAGGCGTCTTAGACGAACTAGTACTTCGTATTTTACATGCAGAATAACAACAATTCAACAAAAACTAGAACGAAAACAAATATCTCAGCTTAACTTGGAGCATTTTAAGCAGAATAAAACCGATTTCTTGCGTCGTTTTAAAACTATGGATAAAACTGGGATCTACCCCCATGATCCTAAATAGAAACGAAAACGTTTACAGTGGACTGATGCTGGTTGCTCAGCTGGTGTAGTCACAATGATCAGCAAAGAAGGTTAAGGCATCAGTTTTTTGGGAGGCAAAAGGAATTTTGTTGATTGATTATTTGCAGAAAGGTAAAACAATCAACTCTGAATATTATTGCAGCCTTTTGAATCAGCTGGATGAAAAAATTCGTTAGAAAAGACCTAGTTTACAGCACAAAAAAATAATTTTTCGTCAAGAAAATTTACCTGCACACAAAGGTGTTTTAACAATGACAAAATTTAACGAATTAAAGTACGAATAGCTTGAGCATCCACCGTATTCGCCAGACTTGGCTCCCAGTGATTACTACCTCTTCAGAAACCGGAGACAATTCCTTTGTGGAAAGCGTTTTTCGGCAAATGAAGAAGCTATTACAGCCGTAGAGGGTGTTTTGCAGAGCTTCCAGAAATTTATTATAGGGATGTCATAAAATTATTGGAGGATCATTAAAATACGTGTATTGAAATTAAGGGAGATTATATTGAATAAAAAAATACATATCGTACCAAAAACAGTATTTTTTCATTTCGAGCGCGTAAACTTTTACACCAACCTGTAGAACCACTAGTTACGACAATCGCTTAATGATTGCGTACATTCTCTACAAAACAAGGTTTTAAATAACCGGTGCAGCTACAATAACAAGGTGTGTACATATATAACTTTATGTAAATTTTATATACATTTTATTGTAGTATGAAAGGGACTGGCCCATTGCCACGCCAACGAAGGCTTGTTGTTCGAAAAACAAGCTGTAGAGCTCTAATTACTTGACAAAATCAGCTTGAAAGTTCAATTGAGCACAGCGGCCCAAAGAAACAGCGCATTTTCGAGAAATAGAACAGTACTGTAGTAATGCATTGTTTAATTTACTTTCTTATAAACTATTCATTAAAAAGAAAAATTCATAACCAAACCTTTCAAATTTAAAAACTAACATTAAAGAAACGTTTTATGATATCCCAGCCATTCAAGCAGCCGCAACCGAAGAACATTCCAATAAATGACATAAAAAATTCATGCGTGCGCTGGTTGATCATTCCAAACTTTGAATTAAGTTAAATAGTGACTTCCAAAGATAATCGAATGATCATTTAATTGTATATCTAAAGAGTTCGGTTATTTAAATTAGTCTAAGGTAGTTTTCTTCCATTATGAAAATATCAACATATTAAATTGTTACCCTTAACCCAACTTGAAAATGAAGTGAATTTGTCCACAATCACAGATCAACTTTTTTAACATAAAACAAGTAAGGAAGGGCTAAGTTCGAATGTAACAAAACATCTTATACTCTCGCAAAGCCAAACGGTATACTCGTTTGAGCTTTCTTTATATATTTTGCTTGATTTGCATAGTGTAAACTGAAAGAATCAGATGGAATTTAAAATGGTGTTATATGGGAAGTAGGCGTGGTTGTAGTCCGATTTCGCCCACTTCACTATAACATAGAAATATGAGAAGAATGTTATGTACCGAATTTGGTTAAAATCGGTTAAGCACCAAGATATGGGTTTTCACCTAAAAGTCGGCGGTGCCACACCCACAAGCGGTTCCTATAAAGTCATCTCATAACATCCCAGAGATAAAATTTAATGTCTCTGGCATATTTAGTGCTTGATTTATCACGCTTTTAGTAGTTTTTAACAGAACCGTTATATGGGGAGTGGGCGTGGTTGTCATTTTCCACTGTCGATAGGGGTGCTAAAAACATTTGTACTCCGTGAATTTGGTTATTATAGCTTTAGCGGCTTAGGAGATATGCACATTAAACCTATTACGGGGCGGGAACATACCCACTTTTAAAAAAATTTTAAACTGCAGGTGCCCTTCCCTAATGTAAACCAGTATAGTAGCAATTTATTTGTTTTTGATTAATGGCGTTTTGTGGGCGTGGCAGTGCTCCGATTACACCCATCTGCAATACCAACTGTCTTACGGTACCAAGAAACATGCACCCCCAAGTTTCATAAAGATATCTCAATTTTTACTCAAGTTACAGACAGACAGTCGCCCAGATTTCAACTCGTATTTTTATCATTATTATAGATATATTATATATATATAAGACCCTATATCTACCTCGATTAGTTTTAGGTGATACCAACAGCCGTTAGGTGAACAAAATCATTATACTCTGTAGCAACATGTTGCGAGAGTATAAAAACTTGGGTGAAAATGGCTTGCTTAATATATGATTTGGTGAGATATATGTTACGAGCGAAATAAATTTTTGTGTTCTTCTAGCAGGATCATCGTCTTTCGGCTTGACTTTAGTCCGAAGTTCGTAAATATAATATACTATAATATATAGATGTGCTTAAAATTGTTATTAATAGTAACACCAGTCACAGTTATCGGATCAAACTAAATTTTTCATGTACGGTGATCGTTAACACACGTTTATTTTTGTTGTGGTATTTGGAATCAGCCATCGATTTTCATAGAGATTCGAAACTTACCACCTTCTCATTTAATTCTAAATTCATAAATAGTAAGCTAGAAGATGTAAATTATTCTGTAAGCAGCACTTTCCGTCGTTGTTTCTTATCGTTAATCAAAGGTTTCATAACCAATATTTGATGGAAATGAACAATGAAGTCAACTAAATATATACCGAGATTGCAATAGATATTCTTGGATATTATAGTTCATATTCTTATACTATTATTATATAGGTCTATAAATACATAAGTGACCACAGGTAAGTTGTCTCTTCGATTCGGTAGATGGTGCAAGCACGAAATATTAAGTAAAGTCAATATGGAATTTATATTCTAAAATTTCTTACGAATGATTGTAATAAAACAAACAAGCACAGTAATAATAATGCCAGATATGACAAAAATTCAAAATCGAAATAGTTTTTTTCCCACAAGGTTAATTATGTTGAATTGAGTAGGGTGGTAATGACGAAGTTATATGGTAGAAAAGTGCACACCAAACAAAAACCAACGAAAACAGAAACGAAAACCTTCATATAATAGTTTAAGTTCCCGTAATAAATACCTCTCGAAATTGTCATTCAAAAAACTAAATAGAGGTTAACATATAAGACAAATAAAATTATTTCACTGTTAATCTCTCATTTCCACAGGAGTATAACTTAGTGCTAAAGTATAATGGACTCTTTACTACAGGTTCCCAAAATTTAATTCTTCAACAAAAGCGGGAAACATAATTTGTGTCAAAATATTACATGTGTATGTGCATATATAACATTAGAATGCAAGCAAGTAAAACAACTATAAATTACTGTGTAAATTCTCAATTTTCACACGTTAACACCTAGTATAATTTACAGTGTAATTTTTCATTATTAATAGCTGCAACACAAATATTTACTCAAGCCCAAGTTATTTATTTTGTTTTATAGACTTCATTAGCAGAGGCGCAATTTATTACATTTTGAAAGTGTTGCAATACACCTTTTCAACCAGCATCTCAGCGCTAAAGCACACCTGTAGTAGCACTCTACGTAACGGTATTGGTGGTATGCGTGCCTTGCAAGTCCATACATCTGCACCCGGGCACTGGCTTCCATTTCTTATTACTTACCATCGCATTCGTGTGCAATTATGTTGATGTGCATTGCATCTGACTTGATGAGTATTTATGATTAAAGTTTACTCAACCATAGTCAGTATTTATATGTGAGTGCGTACTCGAATATAGGATATTTTTGTACCGTTATGTTGTTATTTTTCATACTCTGGCAACATTTGACAACAGTGTATAATTGTTTGATACACCTAACGTTTGCTCGAGGTTCTTAAAGGGTTGTATATGACAAAATGATTAGACGACTTCATTTCAGTATGTCCGAATCGATAAGACTAGTAAACATTTGAAAATCTGCAGCACACGTATCTCTTGGGACTCTGAAGAAACTGATATTGACTTTAGGTGTAATTAAATCATTGTCACGTCCATAAAATGCTATTATTCGACGTATTTTTTAAGTTGGCAAACTTGTTGTCATTAAAAAGCGGAATCGGTGTCATGGTTTAATTATGAGCAAGAAAAAATGTTAATTTCGGCTCCACCGACACTGTAATACCTTTCACAGGTGCATTTCTCATAGCATAAAAGGGTATAAAAAGATCTTCATGTAGATTAGCATATATGGACTATAGTGGTTCGATATGAACACTGCGTTCGGAAATTATAGCCTTGCTTTGAACAATAATCTGTACCTTTCGTGAAGATGATATAAGAAAATTCCGTGAAGATATCTCGTAAAATAAAAAAGTTTTTCATACAAAGACCTGGAGATTATTGGAGAGAAAAGGACGTGTGCAAATATTAGATTTCTCCCTCTGGGTGTTAAAAACTTCGTGGGAAAATGAATATACTTTTCAATATGTTCCTCTTTTGCTCTTTTCCACGCTTACACAGCGTTAAACACTGCTGTGAAGAAGTCTTACGACTAAGCTTGGTGCCGGGAACGCGTCACCCACCGCTCCGATAGCTATCCGCTATCAGATTGTGACACTAAGAACTTATGAGCCATATGGATTCAATTGTAGTGAAATTGTAATTATTCACACGTCTTGCATTCTTTAAAACTACGAGAGCGTATCTAATATTCTGTTGTACTCGCTGGTAGGTATTCCTTATTTCTTATATTCGCTTTTTGCTATGCACTGAGTGCTCTTTCATGTTGCACTCAACAAAGTTACTGTCAACGCGCGTTTCTTACTTCGCAATTTCTGTGATTTGTTATTAACTCGTTAGGTGGAAAAATATGCTCATTAATTTGCTTTTGTGTATACTACTTTGCCGTTTTTCTTTACATTGACTTGTCAGGGCTTTAACGATTTTATACTGTATTGACTTTTACCTGGGCAGTTTATTCGACGCATCTGCGATAACAGAATAATATAGAACTAATAATATATGTATATCATTTTCATAATTCAGGGCACGTCAACCATTCGGGGAGAGACGTGCCATTAATGGTTGGTACAACAGTGGTCTCTAGAAATAGATCTACATGGTCTGAGTATGCTATATCCTACCATCGGCAAGAGTAAGTTTGTTAGATAAATTGGTTTTATGAACATTCTTGGATGTGACCAATTTCTTCAATATAGGATAGATTGGCATTCGATCTAGAACGCAATTGTGAGAGCTCCGATTAAACCATGAACTTCGAATTGTTTGTCTACAATAGGTAGTAGTTTGTCTGCCAAATCATCATTGATAGGAGGGCAGTTAAACGGGTCTAAAGTTAGAGAAGGTGTTGATTGTCTCTCCTTTCGGCGGAAAAAACTCTGAAGTTTTTCTTAGAGAATATGCTTATGGTGATTGCACCGGTGATTACAGTGAAATTAATGTAGCACCCTTTGTTTGGAGTAAAACAAACAGTATCCATTTCTCCTTAAATTATGTTAAAAATACATAAAGACTCGCTCTATTACTGTACGGCGTCCTGTAAATTGGTATTCAGGCGGAACTCTAACTTCCTCATTTTCATCTTATTTTCGTACCCGTTGTTTTATGTGTAATCGAGTCTGCTCTCCTTTCAGTTTGGAAAATTGCTAGGACTTTGCAGGGGAGTATGGAGAAAGGTCTAACAGTATGAAGACGCATCTTTAATAAATTAAATTAAAACTAAGGTTAGGAGTTAATTAAATGGAAAACAACACCATCGTTTCCAACCACAAATATTTGTATTTCTATTAATATGAATATGTGGTGAGCCACATGGCTTATGAACCCTATAATATTAGTTTTTGTACCCTGAACAGGATATATTATATTAAGTTTCTCATGAAGTTTGTAACACCGAGAGGGAAACCATATAAAATATGTATATAATTGATCAGCGTGATGAACTGCGTAGATTTAACCATGTCTGTCTGTTTGTATATATACAAACTAGCCTCTCAGTTTTTGAGAAATCGATCATCGAAGACCCATTTGTTGGAATCGCCGATATCGGATTATTATAGCATATAGTTGTAATACAAACTGAATTATCAAAGGACAAGGACATGTATGGGAAATTTTTATTTGAGAAGATATCTTTACCAAATTTAACACAGTATATTTTTCAAGGAAACTTTACCATTTCCGCAGAATTTGTTGAGATTAGACCACTATAGCATATAGCTGCTATACAAACTGACCGATCAATATCAAGTTCTTGTATGGAATTTTTTGTATTTGTGAAGGGTGCAACCAAACTTAACATTGTTGTTTGTTAAAACTGAATGCGATAGTTCAGAAAATAAAAATGACATTTCAAATTTCGAGAATTTTTTATTTTCGACGTGTTGAGCACCCTTAATGGACATGTTTGTAAAAAGTTCTCTTGTTTTTGCGCGTTCTTGTTGTAAATTGCAACAGTTGTAAGATATCAAGCAGAAAAGATTCATATTGTTTAAAATATTTCTTCGATTTCAGAACTCTTATCACCTCGTTGATTGCGCTTTCCAATCGCCGTAGGTTGGCTTGGATTACCAACTCAACACGCAATATAGTAGACTTTTGCACATCTTCACACATACATATAATACAAACCATAGACCTGCGGCGTATTGGGTTACGGCTATCACAGATAAGATGTGGAGGCAAACAGGAGAAAGTGCAGAATAAAATTGAACTGAGCGCATTCAATTTTCAACTTTTTTAAAACCAATACGATGCCGATGGATTTCATTGCAGTTGCCGCTTATTCTGCTTATTTTTCTGTTTGATATTTCATTTCACAGATGCGTTGTTTTTGTTGCTTTTTTGTTGTTGCGCTTCCATCAAAAGTCATCAGATACCCTTTTGTGACGCTGCAAAAGTGTTGTTGTTGTTGTCAGAAATGATAAAGATACAAGAAGAATCACATCCAAATGGTAACGGGCTGAGATGTGGGGTGGCTGTTGTTGCTGTGGGTGTACGAAAGCAAATAGAGCGAAGAATATGAGTACAATGTGCTTGTTAATAAGTGAACATCGAATTTCTTCTGCTCCAATAAATAACGTTGCTAGGAAAGAGAGCAGCACTTTCTCTATTTCTTTTTTTTTACCTAACTTGACGTTGTTTGCTTTGCCATTTTTGTTGTTTTTGTTATCAATTTTTCATTTGTTGGCCGTTGACAAGAATGATGACGACTAAGTATAAAAGAGTTGGGGTGAATGATTTTGATGATGATTCTTCTGTCCAATCAGCTGGTTAAAAATGGACGCACAGTGCCATCAAGTTCCAAACAAGTGCGCTATATGCAACTTTATCGTTAGTAAAAATGTTGGAAATTTCAAATTGTGTGAGATAACACATTTCTAGTAAGTACAAGTTTTGGAATGTCTTTTTTCTTAAATTGCACATATATATTATTTTATTCTATTGTACTTTAAAATATGCGCAGTATTACGCTATCACCTTAATTTTAATATAGTTATACGTCCACTGAGTCATTCAATAAGTCAATGCATGCTTTCTTTACATTCCATATGACTATATGTGAATATGTATCCTCTATTATTGGAAGGTATGAGAAGATCTATTCATTAATTATGCCTCTCTCAGATGACGAGCTGAGTCGATTAAGCCTTGTCCGTCTGTTTGTCCACCTTCTGTATATACGCGTACTAGTCCCTCAGTTTTTGAGATACCGAAATTTTGCCGGCCATTTGTTGAAACCGCCAATACGAGCGATCGATATCAATTTTATATTTGACAAATTAGCTTCACTAAATTTACTATTGTTTCTGATCGTCTCACCACAGTGTATAGCTATCATATACACTAACTAATCAAAATAATGATAAATATATTTTTATACCCTTTTATGCTATCAAAAAGGCTCTTGTGAACGGTATTATA